CAAATATTAACAAAGAAACATGACCATGAAAAACCATGAAAAGGACCCTTTCCAAAATGACCACTTCTACCATATTAAATTTTCTAAAAAGAGTGACCAGAATGAAATAGCAGACAAAGAATTTAAGAGAATGATACAAAAGAAGATTGAACAAATTCTAAAAGGACACGAGTAAGTTCCGGAAAGAATCAAAAGAGAAGGTAAATGAACACCTGGATAAAATAAGGAAATCAATGCATGATATGAACACAAATTTAATACAGACAAAAAATACTTTAAAAGAATCAAATGAGTATCTGGAAAAAGATCACTCAAAAAATTCAGTGGAAAACTGTTGCTGAGGACAATACTTGCATAATTCATTGAACATGGAAAAGTTGAGCTGGTGCCTAACTAGAGGCTTGACCCCTGAGTGCTCACGGGACTGGAAGGTACTCTGCACACTACTGGAGGAGAGAGTGAAAAGCCAACCCAGATACAAACCCTGCCATCTACAATGATGACCATCTGCAGGACCCACTAATACAATAGCGACACAAGCATTGTGGGAGTAATGAACCACTCTTCCTGGATCTAAGGTCCACTCCAAGAGCTGGATCCCACGCCAGGCATTTCTTGCGTGGCCCAGAACCTGAGACTGGATAGTCCATGGGTCTAAAGGAAAACCAAGCACTACTGTTCTGTTACAAGGAGCATAGTGATAAAAATGATTTCTAACATGATTCTGCTATACCCACAGATCAGTGTCTTAGCCATCATTAGAGAAGTTTTCTCTTGCAGTAGATGGGAACTAACATAAAGACTCACAACTTCATAATGTATAAAGAGTAAGAAATTTTGAAATACTCAGTACTAAGTGAGATGTTTCAATGTTAGAATGAAAGAAGATGGATGATTCCAAGACTCCATTGTCTTCCAATCCTAATAGGCATGGTATACATATGAATTCACAGAGACTATGACACCACACACAGGTTCAATCAGAGTGGGTTACACTGCTGAATGGTGTAAGTGGATGTGAGTCCCCACATCTATCCAAGAAGCTATCTGCAGCTGACACCCACTTGCAAAGGAAAAAATTAAGTTTTCTCACTGAGTACGTCAGGTTGGCCCTATGCCCAGCAGAAGATGGCCAATATAAAAACAAACAAACAAATAAACAAACAAACTCCAAGTTGCTTTTATAGACCTTTCATCTCATATTGTTCTGTTTGGATAATATTTGTCTAACTGGTCATTTGTATGCATACTTTGTGTGTTTATGTATGTGTGGAAGTTTCTTTTTTGTTTGTTTGTTTTCTTTTGTGTGTTTGTTTTCTAAAGAGAGAAAGAAAAGACATGGAGTTGGGGAGGTGAGGAGGATCTGGAAGGAGTGGGGAGGGCAAAGCATGATCGGAATATATGGTATGAAAGAAAATTTTTCAATGAAAAAGAAATAAAAATGAAAGATTTAAAAAATATCTCTGACAGATCATATAACTCAAAAAGACCTAAAATATTTTATATTTGGCCCAATTTAGAAACTGTGTCCCAATCTATTATGTGGATTTTAATATAAAAATAAAATGTAAGAAAGAACTAAAAAAAAACATTCAGTGGAAATTGTTACCAATGAATGGATCAAGAAAAACTCAGATCAAGACTTTTAAGATAAGCCTGGTGGTGGTGGTGCACACCTCTAATCCCAGCACTCAGGAGAGGCAGGTGGATCTCTGTGAATTTGAGGCCAGTCTGGGCTACAGAGTGAGTTCCAGGAAAGGTGCAAAGCTACACAGAGAAACCCTGTCTCAAAAAAAAAAAAAAAAAAAAAAAAAAGAGAGAGACTTGAAGATAACATAGATAAACAAGAATATTCGGTAAAGAAAAAATAAAAAGAAAGTATGAGCGAAGCATGTGAGGTCCATAGTATATAATTAAAAGATCAATTTACAAATCAAGGGCATAGAAAAAGATGAAAAAACTAAAAGGTATGTTCAATAAAATTTCAAATTTCCTAAATCTAGGAAAAGATGCAGGAAGCATTCAGAATTTCAAACAGACAAGACTAGAAAAGAATCTGTCATTTAATATTACTAACTATATAGAACAAAGGAGTGGTGAAGTGACATACAGAAGATGTCAGGGCATATTTTCAAACATATGTTCCAAAACTGAATAATTTTGAAATAATACATTTATAGGAACCTATGTCCTCCTAGAATTAAAACAAGAGAATATAAATATCATTAACAGATCTATACACACAATAAAATTGAAGGCATAGCTAAAAACTCCCATTAATTTGAAAAAAAAAAAAAAAAAGAAAAGAAATCCCAACCCTAGGTGTATATTCACTGCTGAAATCTACCAGACTTTAGAGACCTAGCCCTATGTTTTTCAAATTATTCCATAAAATAGAAAGGGAAAGAATGCTACCAGACCCATTTTATGAATCCAGTATTACACGAATATTCAAGCCCAATAAAGACATGAGAGAAAAAAATTTAAAAGGCAATTTTCTGTTGAATATGGATGCAACTAATCTCAATAAAATATGAACAAACCAAATACTACAACATACCCAGAAGACCACTTTCATGATCAAGGTGACTTCATTCTAAGGGTGCAACATGGTTCAAACAATGCAAATCAACAAATGTAAGAAATTACATAACTAGGTTCAAGGATAAAATCACATGATCACATAAACAGACAAAAAAAGCCCAACATTCTTTCATGATAAAAGCAAAGAACAGCTGGGCGGTGGTGGTGCACGCCTTTAATCCCAGCACTCGGGAGGCAGAGCCAGGTGGATCTCTGTGAGTTCGAGGCCAGCCTGGGCTACCAAGTGAGTTCCAGGAAAAGGCGCAAAGCTACACAGAGAAACCCTGTCTCGAAAAACCAAAAAAAAAAAAAAAAAGCAAAGAACAAAAACAACCCCCCAAGCCCTAGGAATACTTCAACATAATATGGCATATTTATACCCAACATCATACTAATGAGAAAGATTCAAAGCATAACCATAAAAATCATGAATGAGACAAGGGTGCCCCCCCTTTTTTCCATGCTGAAGTCAATAGAGAACTTTAAACCTTAGCTATAGAAATAAAAGACAAATGTAAAAGATATAAAGGGGAAATATTATACTATGTGAAGAAAAACCAGAGCCAAGCAGTGGTGATGCATGCCTTTAATCCCAGCACTCGGGAGGCAGAGGCAGGTAGATCTTTGTGAGTTCGAGGCCAACCCTGGCTATAGTATGAGTGAGGTCTAGGATAGCCAAGGCTACACAAAGAAAGTCTATATTAAAAAAAACAAAACAAAGCAAAGCAAAAAAGACAGGCATAAACAACTGAGAAAAAATTGTTTAAAATGTTGAACTAAAGACATTACTCTTTCGCTCTTCCTTACTCCCAAGACACTACTATAACATTCTACTGCTGAAGACACTACAAACTTGAGTTGTAGAACATGGAGAAATCAAGGTGGTACAAATATGGAAGCTTTGTCCCTACTAAATAGCTTTAATAGTGCTGGAAGTTGCTACACACACTACTGATTGACACAAGAATCTTACCTATGAACCCTGTGAGCTACAATAATAACCAGCCTGAAAACATATAACCACTGGTGAAATAGTAGCATAAATGCCATGAGAGAACAAACTTTTGGTATAAGGCCCACTCTTTAAGATTAAAGCCATACCTAGAACCTTTATGTAGCTAAGAACCTATGGCTAAATAGATCATAGGCCCTAGAAGAGAACTTACTACTATTATTCTGCTAAATGGACATAGTATTAAGCCAAACTCCTAATGATTTATTGTTATACCCATAGATTAGTTCATCTCACAACCCTCAGAGATAATTGTTTCTGCAGTATATGATGAACTGGTCAAGATGCAGAGAATAAGACACTACAAAAATGCTGAGCACTACATGGGATGTCTATATCACACATGTCTTCACTAGGACAAAGGATCAATGCAGAAAAGGAAGTAGAAGGATGCTAAGAATCAGAGCACAGAATTACTGTAAGGAAACAGTATTTTCTGGATACAACAGGGTAGCTGCACATATGAACTCACCACAATTGTAACAACACTCATGAGATGTGTGAAAGCTCAAGCCAGACAAAACGCCAGCATGGAGAGGGTAGATGGATCAAGTTCTACCCCTGGCTGAAGAACTATTGGCAGGAGACAGCTTCTGGGAGAGTTAGAGTCAGTTTTCTTTAAGACTATGGGCCCTAGTAGGCCAATCAAACTCCAGTGGAAGGCCAAACATCCAAGAATATATAGACAGTACAAACTGGACTTGGTGGGATAATTAGAGAGAGAGAGGACACAAAATTGAGTGGGTAGGGAAAAGGGGGGGGTGGATCTCATAGGAGATATGGTGAATAGTAACAAAATGCACTGTACAAAATTCTCAAAGAAATAATTTAAAATTTAAAAAATGAAAATTACTTGGATCAAAATTTATTTTCTAACTATTTTTTAAAGATGTAAAGTTATATAGTTAAACATAGTCGTTTTTGACATTTAAAGGATATTCAGACATTAATTTCACTAACTCCTATATTCTGCTCACAAAGGAACCTGTCAACCCTTTCTCTTCCTAGTAAACACATAGGAAAGGCCAGACAATGTGGTATATGTCTTTAATCACAACACCTGAGAGGCGGAGGCCAGAGGATTAATATGAGCTCCATATCAACTTGGTCTACATACTAAATTCCAAGTCAGTCAGAGCTACATAGTGAGTCCCTGTTTAAAAAACAACACAAAAATGTAATAGATGAATATAAAACATGGTTAGAAAAAAACAGGAAGGGGTATCTTATAATTGGATAACTTTTAAAATTTAAATAATTAAAACAAACTTTTACGAACTACTATTATTTCAAATTATTTCTACATATATACAATTTTAATTAAAATGAGTACATAAAATAGTATTACTATCAAAAGGTAAGAGGATTAACAGTGATACATATAGTTTGAAGACAAATTACATACCTTCAGATTATATTTATGAGCTTTATCCAAAATAGTTGGTACCAAGTGATCAGTAGCTTCTCCGTTCTCATCACTGGAATCAGGTGGGTACCAAGAAAGGGCCAGGACTCCTAATAGAAAAGCATAATAAATAATATAATAATATAATAATATAATAATATAATAATAAAAACAGCTTGGTACTGGCATAAAAACCGACATGTGGACCAATGGAATCGATTTGAAGACTCTGACATTAATCCGCACACCTATGAACATATAATTTTTGACAAAGAAGCTAAAACTGTACAATGGAAAAAAGAAAGCATCTTCAACAAATGGTGCTGGCATAACTGGATATCAATGTGTAGAGGGCTGCAAATAGATCCTTATCTGTCATTGTGCACAAAACTTAACTCCAAATGGATCAAAGACCTCAACATAAATCCAGGTACTCTGAACCTGCTAGAAGAGAAAGTAGGAAGTAGTCTTGAATGATTGGCATAGGAGATCATTTCCTAAATATAACACCAGTAGCACAGACACTGAGAGAAACAATCAATCAATGGGACCTCTTGAAACTGAGAAGCTTTTGTAGAGCAAAGGATATGGTCAACAAGGCAAAGCGACAGCCTATAGAATGGTAAAAGGTCTTGACCAACCCCACATCTGACAGAGGACTGATATCCAGAATATATAAAGAACTCAAGAAATTAGACATCAAAATGCCCAACAGGTCAATTAAGAAATGGGCTATTGAACTAAACAGAGAATTCTCAACAGAGGAAACTCAAATGGCTGAAAGACATTTAAGGAATTGTTCAACATCCCTAATTATCAGGGAAATGCAAATTAAAACAACTCTGAGATCTACGTAGTATGAATTGTTAGAAGGTCTTATTAATTAAAAACAAACCTGGAGCCAGGTACTGGGGTAAACGCTGAAAGATCAGAGAAACAGAACCAGCTACAGCTAACCTCACTTTGCCAATTCCTCAGCTGGTCTTGTTTCCTCAGACTGAAAGCCTCTGAGTCCTCACCCGAATGGATCTCAGCTGAACTGCTGCTAAAACCTAAAAGCTTAGCCAGGCTATAGTTCCTGGTCCTCATGACTTATATACCTTTCTGCTTCCTGCCATCACTTCCTGGGATTAAAGGCATGTGTCACAATGCCTAGCTGTTTCCAGTGTGGTTTTAAACTCACAGAGATCCAGACAGATCTCTGCCTTTGGAAGGCTAGGATTAATGGTATGTGTGCCACCATTTTCTGGCCTCTATATCTAGTGGCTGTTCTGTTCTCTGACCCCATATAAGTTTATTAGGGTGCACAATATATTGGGAAACACAAGATCACCACAGATCTAGGCACTTCAGAACATCTGAGAAAAAGTATATTTTTTTTCTTTTTTTTTTTTTTTTTTTTGGTTTTTTTTTTTTTTTGGTTTTTCGAGACAGGGTTTCTCTGTGTAGCTTTGCGCCTTTCCTGGAACTCACTTGGTAGCCCAGGCTGGCCTCGAACTCACAGAGATCCGCCTGGCTCTGCCTCCCGAGTGCTGGGATTAAAGGCGTGCGCCACCACCGCCCGGCTTTTTCTTTTCTTTTTTTTTTTTTTATTTGCAAAAGTTTATCTCTTTTTTCTTTTTTTATTTTGCAATACAATTCAGTTCTACATATCAGCCACGGATTTCCTTGTTCTCCCCCCTCACCTTCCCCCCAGCCCACCCCCCATTCCCACCTCCTCCAGGGCAAAGCCTCCCCCAGGACTGAGATCAACCTGGTAGACTCAGTCCAGGCTGTACACCAAAAATAATTGAAATCATAACATACAACATGCCATACATGAAATATAGTCCCCAAGTCACAAAGACTTTACTCAGTGGCTGATATGTAAAATTAAATTAATTATAAAATAAAATAAAAAATGATGAACTGCTAATTTAGTAGTGATGCAAAAACGCTATACATGCAACAGAGCACTTTGTTTGAATTTCAAATTTCACTAGAGCTAGTAAAATATAGTGAAATACTTTCACAATACTTTGTAGCTTCATGGAGTTATAACTTGCACTCAGCCATATGGTCACAGGGTTAAGAGAGAACCCTCTGCAGTATAGTTTACTAAGCTCTGGTGTGTAGGGCCCTGGCCTCAGGTTTGGGTAGCTGTTGCCTTGCTTGCTGACCTTGACCTTGATGTCCTCCCTATGCTACTTCCCTGCAGGTTTCCACCCTCCTGAATGCTTAAGGGAAGTTCCTTGTTTGTGTATCCTGCATATTGGGCGTTAACAGCTTAGATGCAAGATTGTAAACATCAGTAGTGAACTTCTGCCCTCTGGGGTTCTCCCATTATGCTGTAAGCCTGTATTTAAGACTTCCTCCCTCTTTCAATAAACAGCATTCAGCATTCTGCTGAGGCAAATGAAAAAAAAAAAAAACGACTCTGAGATACCACCTTATGCCTGTCAGATTGGCTAAGATCAAAAACACTGAAGACACCTTATGCTGGAGAGGATGTGGAGCTAGGGGAACTCTCCCCTCCACTGCTGGTGGGAATACAAGCTTGTACAACCACTTTGGAAATCAATATGGCGCTTTCTTAGAAAATTGGGAATCAATCTCCCCCAAGATCCAGCTATACCACTCTTGGGCATATACCCAAGGAATGCTCAATCATACCACAAGGGCACTTGCTCAGCTATGCTCATATCAGCAGTTTCTAATAGCCAGAACTTGGAAACAACCTAGATGCCCTTCAACTGAAGAATGGATAAAGAAAATGTGGTACATATACACAATGGAATACTACTCAGCAGAGAAAAACAATGACATCATGAGGTTTGCAGGCAAATGGATGGATCTAGAAAAAATCATCCTGAGTGAGGTAACCCAGACTCAGAAAGACAAACAAGGTATGCACTCACTCATAGGAGGATAGTAGATGTTAAACAAAGATGACTAGACTGCTACTCACAACTCCAGGGAGGCTACCTAGAAAACAGGATCCCAGTCTACAGAGAAAATATTTAAGACAAACACTTCAAACCTTCAAATATAAATAAAGAAATGAAGGTCACTAGAGAGACATCATGGATATCTCAATGAATCAATACTTTTTTTAATAAAAGGAAAGAAATAATAGTGTTATATAGAGGAAAGCTTGCAGAAATTATGAAATCAAATCAGCCAAAATTCCACCATGGATGGGGGCAGGGCTAATCCAGTGCCACCATTAGCTGAGGAATTATTGGCAATTTGAAGGCTCTTAGTGGAGCAAGAGTCAGTTTTCTACAGGGATGTGGTCCCTAAGCGGTGACCCAAGTTCCAGTAGATGGTCCTATCACGCACATATAAGCTCTACTATCACTGGACTCAGTAGGTTTAAAAACAGAGCACACAAGGTTGAAACTGAAAAGTGGTGGTGGCTGGTGGGGTAGGGGAAGAATGAGAGGGGAGGAAATGGGGACTAGATTTTATTAATACACATTAAATACATAGATTCTTAAAAGTAAAGAAAAAGAAACTGCTGGAGAGCTAGATTTTTAACACTTATATTTTCTCAGAGTCCTAATATGTAGAAAAGAATTCTAGCTAGAGGAACACAGTGGCCATTTCATTAAAGCTAATAGGGGAAAATGCTATCTTTGTGTGCTATGCATAGAATAGCAAAAAAAAAAAAAGCAAAAACATGAAAAACACGTAAGACAGAACAAAGAACTAATAGTGGACAGGGATCCAGGGAAGTTACGGCTATTGAAGAAGGGAGTGCACCTAGATAAGATTGTTGGTAAAAACCAAAGTTGGGAGAAAACTGATCAACATTTAAGCAGCCCTCTAGCCCAACTTGTAACAGCATCAAGAGCAACAATAAACATTTTCTCAGCACACAGCCTAGGAAAGAAATTTCCATCTCACAAAACGCAATGAAAATAAATATACATAAGGGAAACAGCACATGTCAAAAAGCCACAAAGTATGTGAGCACTGTAAAAAATGCATTCTTCCACGTAATTCAAACCAGGATTCTAATTCTAATAATCATGCAGTAATTTCTAATAGCTATTGGTCTAATAGCAGAACAACATCAAACATGGGCAACAAGAACTGCCATGAAGACAAAGCCCTTCTTCGTAAACAAGCAGGTACTAGCAGAGTGAGTAAGCTGGTAATGGCAGTGCTCATGGAAGGGCAGCTTCTGCAGCTGTGCCTGGCAGGAGTGAAGCAGCTCTAGGAAGCAGCCCTTTCTCTGCAGCCTGGCTTTCAATGCCCATGGGTCTCCGCTGCGCTTTATGCAGACATTTAGGTGAGCCAGCATCAGCATTCGCAACAGCAAAGACAAAGCAAAGTCACTCAGGAAGCTATCTTCTTCCTGAGCTCAGAAGCATGTTTCAAAGAATAATGAATAAAACACAAGCAAACATGATTTTAAAATAACATAAGGAAATAAAGCATCAGGCTTTATTAAGGGAACACCAAAGACAACAGGCCTATGTGGAACCTCCAGACACTGGCTCTAGAGACATTTCTCAGACACTAGATAATATACTGTCATTGGAAGATTTTATGACTAAAGACATGTACCTGGAAATCACACACAGGACAGAGAAAGATGAGGGGCATTGGTGACATGAGAATAATCATGATCAATTACTTTTCACCACTAAGTTAAAGGTATACACTGCAATGCTACAGCAATTTTAAAAGTAAATAAGAAGAATAACTATGTATTAGGCCAAAAGAGACTGCAGGATGGAGTAATTCACACATTCAATGTCAGATACGGCACGTAAAAGATGAAGAAAAGATCATAAACAGGTCAAGTGGAAATGCAAAATGGAACACTGAAAACCACATTACATTAAATAAAAATGAAATTGACACAGAAATTGAAAAGGAATAGTTAAAGAAAGTCAAATTGTATACTACAGAAAGGAAGGAACAGCTGAAATGTCCAACACATGGCTGCAGAAGCAAACACCCTCAATCATAAAAGGAAATACAATCACCAGTAAAAATGACAAAAACCGATTTCTTACAAGAGGTGAATCACAAAATTCTGTGCTATACACATTAAGACAAGCAAACAGGATAGCGAACTCATTTTGCTATCATAAAGGAACAAAACAATCATAACTTTACAGTGACAGAAATCAGACACAGTTGTTGGAGTGACGTCAAGGTCAGCAGTAAATAGGGCAATGATGATGACAATTTTAGGGCAGGTGGAAAGGTCCTGCTGAACTGAACTCAGGACCCTTTTCCCTCAGCTTTCCAAGTGCTACAAGTGCAGGCATGCTCCACCATGCATAGCTCAGGTGTAGAGGGGTTGCCTAGCACAAATGAAGTCATCAGTTCAATTACCAGTACTGCAAAAACAAAAATAAACAACAAAAACAGAAAAGGACACAAATACAGTTTAATCCAGGGAAATGAATTAAGACTGTAATTACTAAAAGTATGAAAACTGATTAGTAATTTAATTGTCAACCCAAATTATTTATATATGTAAATAAAATAAACTAATTACCAACCAATTGAGGCTGAGCACATCTGTCTCATGTGAGTTTCTATGACAGAAGGGTCCTGAGAGCTGTAACTTCCTAACTCAGGATAAAAGTTGGAGCCAATGTCATCTGGAGGAGTATGTCTCCCTTGTGGATAGTTCTTGGCTATTCTAGGGTCCCAATGCTCCAGGACTGGATGATTCCAGTGAATATATTTACCATCAAATTGTGGATTTCCATACCAACTGTAATAAAATGCATGTAAAAAATAATTCAGAGGAGGCAGTTCCTCCAGGTTCCCTTCAGAGGTTTTGGTTGGCCTCACAGTCATGCCAGCAGTTTTGAAATTCTTGGTATTCGTTTCCATGTTGATTCTATCACTCTTTTGGAAGTCAACTTTGTTTCCCAAGGGGGCCTTCGGTGGATGAAGTTCTGGAAGAAGGTCAAGCCCAAAAGGAGTTCCAAAGGATGCTGTATTCGGCCTCAGCATCTTTAAGCCCATCATCAGAGAGAAAATAAATAGAATAAAAAGTGACAAAATGATGCAAGTCTTTCTTCGAAATTTTGCCATGATGACATAGTTTAAACTCCAAAATAGTGAATGTTTTGCTGCAATTCAATGAAAAAAAGATCATTAGTAAGTGATAGCTACATATTTTCTACAGTATTTAAAATGAAAACTAAAATTCAGTGACATTAAAAAACAAACAAAATATAATAAACCACCAAATACTGTTAAATAAAAGAACATGCTTATGCGCACACACGTGTGCACACACACACACACATGCAGACTGGCAAATACATATACTCAAGAGGTACTGATTTGGAAACAACACTATGTACATGCCAACAACATTTAGTCAGGTGAAACTCAGAAATCTGTTTAATAAAATGAAATATATTTTTCATCATGTGAGTAAGTTTTGTGTATACAGAATATACAAAGTCAATAATTCACATATATGGACTAAATTTTAAAATGGTAGTTAATGAAAGGAAATACTTATGAGTCTTCTAAGTAAAAACATTCAAGTCCAGTGATAAAGTTTTAAAAAGGGTCCTTAAACTGAAAAAAATAATAAATATTACAAAAGGGAATAACTACACATTTTTAATTTTATTTGGGAATGGAATAGAATCAGATAAAACTTTCTAATGATAGTAGTAGGGAAAAAAAGTTAGATATTCTGGCAACAACCACTCACCACTGAATGACTGTGTCCCCCCACACCCATGAGTCAGAAACTTATTAACTCCTAATTCACATTGTTGAGAGGCAGACTCGATGGGAGTTGATGAATCCATCTATCATGAATATGTTTTTCAATTTGTATTAAAATTTTAGCTACTGTGTTAGGTTTCCTGATGGCTCTTTCAAGTGGATTTGTTTTTAATGGAGCTCTTCCTCTTCCTTGTCCCCCCCAGCCCCTATTCAAACCCTTGCATCTTGGCCACTCCAACTAGCTTCCTTTCCACTACCATGCTACCTGTGTCCTGCTATCCTCACCTCCTTGTTCAATACCTTTCCCACCCTTGAATCTTCCTTTGACGTTCCAGAACCTGTACCATGCTTTCGCACCTCCTTCTACACATACATACAAACATACCTTGAAGATCTGTATGAGAGAGAACGTGTGATTTCTGACTTGAGTTACATCATTTAATATCATTTCCTGATACCTCAATTTTCCTGAAAATTTCCTTATTTCATTTTCCTTAAAGGCTTAACAAAACTCAGTTGTATACATATACCTCATCAGGAATGAATTAATGAGGCTGTTGGTTAATTAATGAGCTCCTCCCATTCAGAGGATACAGCATCTAGACACTATCAGCATCCATCCCCAGACATCTGATCCTGTCAAATCTTGATTTTAGACATCCCACTGTCAGAGCTGTGAGAAATACATTTCTCTTCTATATAAATTATCTAGTTTTCTGAACCTTGTTATAGCAGCACATAATGGACAAATATACAAAGCAACAGGCAAGAATCATGTTCAAGTTTGATGGGACACAGGATAGCCACATATTGGTATTTCATCAAAACATACTTCATTCATAAAATGGAAAGCATCAAAGTTTTGAACAAGTGATCAAGATTAATCTGGGGCATATTTGACAATGGTTTTCTAGAGAGGATATACTGAGAATGATGAAATAATCACTGCTGGGTAATTTTGTTCAGAAATTAACTTCATGAAGAAACTTGTAAAAGCATATTAAGGACATACACAAAAAGAAACATGCACATATATTTGTACACACATATACACACATACTTATCCACTATATATAGTCTTCTCTCTATATCAGGGTTCTGCATCCATGGTTTAAGTAACCATGGATGGCTTCTGACAAAGAAATTTACACCTATACCAAATATATACAGATTTTTTTCTTGGCATTATTTTCTAAACAACACATAATATTGATTATTTAGACAACACTGATAGTGAATTTTGTCACCTAGAGATGATAAGAAAAACACAGAGGAAGGATGTAGGTTATATTCAATATCTCATATAAATGAACATCCATGAATTTTGCTTCCCAGGAAATTCCCAGAACCAATCTCCTGAACCTGCTTAGAGACTAGCTGTGTGTGTGTGTGTGTGTGTGTGTGTGTGTGTGTGTGTGTGTGTGTGTACACATACATATATATGTATATAACACAGTGTAATTATATGTAATTGTACATATTAACATGATTGAAACTGTAGGAAAACTAAAGGAATTGAAATGTTCATACTATTTTGGCAACATTTTTAATGTCGAAAACATTTTTTAAAAAGGAAGAAAACAAAAATAAAAAATCCCACTAGACAAGTATAGGGTGAGAAAGAAATTTTAACACAACCTCCGCTCATTTCTGGGAAGGAACAGTTCTATAGTCCTTCAGGCTCAGCACTGCATGCCAGGAAGTGAAAGCTCTGCCGTGGGAATGTGACGGGCCTATTCACAAGGAACTGACCACTTTGGTTGCTGCTATAACTTGCTGTCCTGAAATTTCCAAGCTATTGATGTAATAACATATCCTTTCTTCCCTTCGATTACAGAATATGATAATTTTGACCAGACAAGAAACAGAAAAAATGATTTTGGGATATTATCTTGTCTATATTAATCAGACACAAAATGAAAATATGTTCAAAGCATGTACAGTTGCTATCTCTAAGTGAGAAAAAAAACAGCAATATCTTTTCCTGTCTTCTCAAATCAGAACTGTTTGTTTGGGGTTAAGTATTTCATAAGAATTAATTACTGGTGTTGCAAGATGAACACACACACACACACACACACACACACACACACACACACTCACACAGAGAAAGAGAGAGAGAGAATGAATGAATGAATACAGGAGAGCTATTAGATTTAGATGTAACTGAAGAATTAACTTTAGAAATGCTGACTTAGGGCAGGGCAGTGGTGGCTCACACCTTCAATCTCAGCACTCAGGAGGCAGAGGCAGGTGGATCTCTATGAGTTCGAGGCCAGTCTGGCCTACAGAGTGAGATCCAGGACAGGCACCAAAGATACACAGAGAAACCCTGTCTTGAAAAACCAAAAAAAAAGAAGAAGAAGAAATGCTGATTTAGTAGGCTGGTGTAATATACTACTCAGGGTATATAACAGAAAAAAAAATTGACTCTGGAATTTGAAAAACACATTAATGATCCACTTGTGTGATCTTGGATAACTCACTGAGACTCACATTATCTTTTTTGTTTTTTGATAAAAACCGTTCTGTGGACAATGCAAGGTAATGTTGGCAAATGAAAAAAAAAGAGAAGTGTTTAAATTAATGACTGAATATTACTTAAGATTTAAAGTAAATGAGGAAAGAAACATAAAAAGAACACTAAAGATCTGTGTGTGTGCGTGCATGTGTGATTTCTGGTTCATTTCTTAAATAGATCCATCAATGACCAAAATTTGCATTTATGGACACTGCCTATGTTTTTCCCCCATTCTTATTGTCTATAAATTCAATTTCTTAAGCTGTACCTTTATTTATTTTATTCATTTCAAATGACTATTATATCATTGCAAACCATCAATTTCATCTTTAAGATCACCCATGAAGGGTATTCCAACCTTCTTAATTAACAAGTCACTTCAATCACTGTGTTTAAAAGTCTGAACTCTGCCCTTGCTAGGTCTCTTTCACAGTGCTGGAAGGTGCTCTTAAGGTGGCTGGGGTAGGAAAGATATCAGTGGTCTTACCCAGTGCTAAATCCTGCATGCTACAATACTGACATGCCAGATATGCCTACTGGTGCAATAGTAGCTAAGACTATTCATGTGGGTAACCAACTACTCTCTGGATTAGATTTAAAGTCTGTTCTACAGGGAGATTTCATGCCTGCTAACTATAAACATGGTCGAAACCCATGGAACATTGCTGGAGGAGAGCAAAGAGGATTTAAGAGCTGGAGGATGGATAGGAACTCTGGGAACGCAGTTCTCTGGACATGACCCGGCGGTTGCACACATGAACTCAGCAGGTGTGCTGAGCTGCACAAAAACTAGAGAATTAAAAGTTCCAGCATGCAGCAGTGTACCCAAGACCCAAAAGCCAGCTGAGGACTACTGGTAATTGATGACTGATTGGAGAAGGACAGAGTCACATGTTCTTGGGGGCATGGCCACCCCTACATTGTTCATAACACAGGAGATGACCCCACACTCATGTGTTCTTGTGCAGCACTAAGTAAAATACTTTATTAATCAATTATGGAGGACATAAAGTTGGGAGATGGGATGGTGGAATTCTGAGAACTTGGAGTGGGGAGGAGAGGGTAGATAAGATTAAAATACATTATATATACACATAAAAGTTTCAAAGAATAGGTAAAAACTATTATTTAAAAAAAAATTGAGCTCTGTAGTTATAACAAGTTAGGTCCAGATCTCATCTTTTCCTTATGTAGTCTGATGTTTCTATACTTCTTTCTTCCACTGCCGTTATCTCCCTCATAGGATTCATGTCAGGATGAAGCCTTATTTCACGTCTGACAATGTATCACTAAGTAATGATGAGCCATGAGCAATTATTCATGATGATAATGATAAAAAGATGGGTGGCATGAAAACATTCCAGAAGTAGCAATATGGTAGCTGGACCTGGTGACACACACCTTTAATCCTAGAACCTGTCAAACAAAGGCTGCCAGATCTCTATGAGTTTCCAGGTCACCCTGGAACTTCCACCCCAGCCTGGGCTATATAATGAGGCTCCACTTCAAAATAAATAAATAAATAAATAAATGAATAGGCTCTGCCTCAACATAAATAAATATACTAACAATAATGAAATCAACCTAGCATATGGAACTGAGCATGTAGTTCAGTAGTTAGAACAAATATCTAGCATGAACAATTCCTTGGGTTCTGGGTTTGACCCTTAACCCTACAGAAAACAAACAAACAAATAAATACAGCATATGCCTTATTCTCTCTAAAATGATATTCAAGGTTCCAGACAAAGCAGAGGTCTGCCTCCTCTTCCTGATGCCTCCCCTAAAGACTCCTGAGTAGCACTGTTCTCCTTTAATGGTGGTATTTCTAACACTGTACATTGCATTAAACTATATGTGTACAAGTTTTCTATCTCCTAGAAATGGAGAACACTTATACTCTAGTAGATCCCAACAAATATTATGGTCACTCATCATTATTCAGCTTCCTTAAGCTTTGGTCCTTCTGTTTCTGACACTGGCATGTGTTTGGGCAGTATGTGCTGTGGGATGTTCTGTATGGCAAATGTGTTGCTAATTAGTCAATAAATAAAACACTGATTGGCCATTGGCTAGGCAGGAAGTGTAGGCGGGACAAGGAGGAGAATAAAGCTGGGAAGTGGAAGGTTGAGTCAGAGAGACACTGCCAGCCACCACGATGAGAAACAGCATGTGAAGATGCCTGGTAAGCCACGAGCCATGTGGCAAGGTATAGATTTATAAAAATGGATTAATTTAAGCTGAAAGAACAGTTAGCAAGAAGCCTGCCATGGCCATACAGTTTGAAACCAATACAAGTCTCTGTGTTTACTTGGTCGGGTCTGACGGCTGTGGGACTGGCAGGTGAGAGAGATTTGCCCTGACTGTGGGCCAGGCAGGAAAACTCTAGCTACAAATGGCGTCCAACGTGGTGGCAAGAATTTCCACCTAAAAACTGACAAAAGAAAAGATTCTAAAACGGAGCTAAAAACAGTTCCTAATTGTCTCTCTCAAATGAGCGGCAGCTGCTGGTTTGAGCTACTGGTGGGTTCCTAACGTGCGTGCTCGACCTGCCTATGGCGGGAATGAGGCCTTTGCAAGTGGCACATTAAGCTGCATGGTGGATTTAGCCTTTGCTGGTACAAAACAAAAAAAGAGGTTTCTGGACTACACGCTGCTTGGATAAAAGCATAGACCCACGATAGCTCCCAGAGCTGGCAGTAAACCACCGCCATGTTGGGAAGCTGAGGTGGGCAGAGCCAGCAGCCACAGCTGCTGCAGTTTAAGGCAATAGATTCACAATAAGACAGATTCAGATGTAATAGTTTACAATGTGTGTAAAAGATACGTAGGCTTGAAAGAGACAAAAAAGGTGATATATAGAGTTATAGAAACAAATACATAGTTTTAAAAAATAAAGTCTTTAAAGAGACAGTAAAGGTAGTATAAAAAATAAGCCACGTAAAAATGGATATTACACAGAGAATCTGGATTGTGTTGTCTTTGGGATTTTTAACTGCAGAAAAACATTTGATTGTAAAAACTGTTGAGTTAAACCAAAATGTATATTTTAAAGGTAACTTGACTTCAAAATTTGAATATAAGGATATGTTACTTTGGAAAGGAGACTCTGCTTATGTTCCCACAGAAAGCCAGAGGCTATGGATTTGTTGCAGATTAAGATACATCAGGTTTGACCAGCCAAGACCCCCTGAAAGGTCTCTGATGACACCATGGCCCAGATGATCCAACATCCAGAATGGTTTGAAGGCAACTGGCTCAGACGATACACCCTCATGGACTTTTCCATGATCCTAAAATTTTCTTTGTATCCCCATAAGATACAGCGCCCCCCTCCAGCAGGAAGTAGTAAGAGAAGCTACGCCCAAATTCCCAAATTATATGTAATTTTACTTTGTTAAGGTTAAAACCTTCCTTTTTTTTTTTAAAAAAAAAAGGGGGGAAGTGCTGTGGGATGTTCTGTATGGCAAATGTGTTGCTAATTAGTCAATAAATAAAACACTGATTGGCCATTGGCTAGGCAGGAAGTGTAGGCGGGACAAGGAGGAGAATAAAGCTGGGAAGTGGAAGGTTGAGTCAGAGAGACACTGCCAGCCACCACGATGAGAAACAGCATGTGAAGATGCCTGGTAAGCCACGAGCCATGTGGCAAGGTATAGATTTATAAAAATGGATTAATTTAAGCTGAAAGAACAGTTAGCAAGAAGCCTGCCATGGCCATACAGTTTGAAACCAATACAAGTCTCTGTGTTTACTTGGTCGGGTCTGACGGCTGTGGGACTGGCAGGTGAGAGAGATTTGCCCTGACTGTGGGCCAGGCAGGAAAACTCTAGCTACAAGTATGTCTATAACACATTCAACTGTACATATGCAGACCAGATCTTTGTAGAGTCTATAATCAACAACACTGTAAAAGAAAACTCACGAAGATTCAATAATTTTAAAGTCCATTTAAACAAACTACTATCTTAGTATCTGTGACAACACAGTACCTCTGGAGCCTAAAACAAGCATCGCTCTTGCAGGAGACAGGCAAAGGAACTATTTACCTAGTTTTAACTAAAGAAAGGTTTCAGAAGTTCCTTGTGAGAAAAACAGAAACAAAAGCTCTACAAGTCACCTAGAGGTGTAGAGGTTCCAACACAGGAAGCTCAAAGTACTGGCTACTGACAATGTGTCCTCATCAAACGGAAATTTGCGTGACCCAGGGTTATACAACTGGTTCATCAGAAACCATGCTATTTTTATGTTTGGTGCTTTTAACCTTTTAAAATGATACTTAATATGGAAGTCTATTTCTTTCTAATAAAAGGTATTACATACTTAAGTAGCTGAGATCTAAATGATTAAGAGTATTTTGCTCATATATAACTCGAAAAGTCACAGTTTCCATTTTAAAATAATCAATTAAGTTATAAAGATTCCTCCTACTTATTCTTTTGTGTTCATACTGCTTTCTTCTAATTTTATGCTAGAGGAAGTACCTAGAGACAGAGAAAACTAAAGTTAAGAACACATATTTGGAATTTTCAGAATCTTGCCCAGGTCGGTTTTACTGCAAACACGGGCAACCTTTTGCACAGAAGCTCCGTCAGGCCTAACCTCTGTCTTGCATTTTTATCTTCACATTACAGATGATGGAACTGAGTAGATGAGTTTTTCCAAGCTTTTGGGGTAGCTGGCAAACAGCCAAGAAACCTGCCACTGAGCATCTTGCAAGGGCAAAATACAGTGCTGTAACTTAGGCTCCCGGCTGCGGCTCAAGTGGCCTCAAGTGTAGAAGGCATACTACAATGACTTTTTTTTGCACCATGGAAGCTGACTTAGAAGAAATGACCAATGGTTCCCTCCTCCTTGAACTGTGGCCCACACTGAGAAGGCAGTTCATGATCACACACTAGTTACTTATTATAGGAATAAAGAGCAGCAGCTTTGCGTGTTACACAGACTAAAAGCCATAAAATTCTGTTTTTCGTGGATTACAAGCAGCTCACAGAGTGCAGTAATGTATTGCATGAAAGTGATTCACAAACCTGAATTCGTTTTAGCAAAACCTACATCCACTTTTCACTTTCCTTTCAAGCTGACGCCTACACACTGGAATGTGAACAGACCACCCTCCAGTCTCATTTCTTATTTGTATTTCTAAGCTCATACAGATCCACATGTAAGCCTCCTCTGAATGAGTTAAGTTTTAGTACTTCTCCATCTTCCACTCTATTATCCGTAGGTCCTCGACACAACAAAACGAAAACTTTTAACCGCTTCTACTCCCAACTTGTTCCTCCGCAAATGGAAGAGGAACCAACCACCCTCGTCAGGGGAAGTCGTCCGTACTGAGCCAGGCGTGTTAAAAGGGGACAGAACAAAGACCTCGGAGGGCGGACTTGAACCGGCCGTCTTCCGGGTGCAAGCTGGGCTGGGAGACGTGCTCCGCGACCGCCAGCGGCCTCCGGACCCCCTCCAAGGTTCGGAACTCAAGGTGGAGGCGTGGGGAACCACCAAGGGGCAAACTTCCACCTTGCGGGGAGCGGGGCAGCCGGGCCAGGCCGGGCTCCGATGCGTTGGGGACACTAACCTAGCGGGAACCGGCAGGGAAGCCGGCGTCTGGGCCGAGCAGGTCGGGATTCCCAGGCGCCGGGGCGCAGGGTCAAAGGGCGCAGCAGGAAGGAGGCCTGCCTGCGATTGGCTGGCGGGCCAGCGCGCAGGCGCTAGCGGTGCAGTCTGTGTGGGCCGCAGCTTCGGGATCCCGCAGCGACTCACCTGGGTCTGGGGCCCTGCCACCAGCGGGGACTCACCGACCGAGAGAAGGTGCCCTGAGTCCTCCCAGGCCTGACAGCTCTGGCCGCGGCCGCCTAGTCCCGCCAACCTCCCAGAGGACAGCGCGGGGCGCGGCACGGGGGGCGGGGCTGTGGGCGGGGCTCGGGGGCGGGGCTTCGCGTCTCTAAGTCCTGACCTGGCCTGTAGCAGGGTCATGGTGCAGGCTGCCTAAGAGGTGTATGTCAGGCTGAATTCCCATCATTTCTCCAAGGAAGCTCTCTTACACTTTGGCCTTTCAGGCTACGCCTTACACCTGGTCAAGGGTGTTTTGTTTTTCGCTTTTTAAAAATTCACTCAAATGTTGTTTGTATTTATAATCCATTGGATATTTCCAAAATTTTAAAGTTGAAAATGTGTTTTAATTTATAAATGGGTCTTTATTTGCAAGACAGAAGTAGACAGACAAAGGTGATATGTGAAAATTAAAGGTCTACTAGAAATCATGTGTGTACAAGTACAATAAAAATAGAGAATAAGTCAGATGCAAAAACCAAGAATTTTTCCGAGGGTACAACTGGGGTTTCCATCTTACATCAGCCTAAGACACCAAGAGGATTCTGTGTTTTGTTTTGGTTACATGGTAACAAGGAAACCTTGACTCAAAGTGAAACTTGCAGGTGTGAGGTATTGTAAAGTCTCCCCTTAAAAAAACAACAACTGAGCCGGGCGGTGGTGGCGCACGCCTTTAATCCCAGCACACGGGAGGCAGAGGCAGGCGGATCTCTGTGAGTTCAAGGCCAGCCTGGTCTACAGAGCGAGATCCAGGTAAAGGCGCAAAGCTACACAGAGAAACCCTGTCTCGAAAAAAAAAACAAAAAAACAAAAAAAAACAACAACTGGCTTTTTAAAGAGATTTGAAATATAAATATATATACATATATATATATATATATATGTATATATAGAATAAAAAAATAATAAAAAAATATGTCCTAGTACTTAACTGCAAAAGCTTAAGACCAAAAAATTATTATTTTCCTATCACCATTAGGCACCATTTTGTGTTTTTTATTGTCTTGCTTTTTTGAAAATATGTAGTTTCCTAAAAACCCTGTCTCCCTGGCTTTTCATGTTTTAGAAGTGAAATATGCTCTGGTTTTCTATGCTAACATGTTTTGCTACGTGTTTACGTTTTGAAATTTCTAAACATACAAATCAATTTTACATCAATTAGTTTGCTTCACCAATGTAAAAACTGTTTTTTAAGGGTTGGCAAGATGACTCAGCAGTTAAGAGCACTTTTTGCTCTTCCAGAAGACCCAGGTTCAATTCCCAGCACCCATATGGCTGCTCACAACTGTCTGTAACTTGTAGGTGGAAGTTTTCCTGTATCCCACCAGGTCTGCAGCAGACCCAAATAAACACACAGAGGCTTACATTAATTAAAACTGCTTGGCCATTTGCTCAGGCCTACCACTGACTAGCTCTTACACTTAAATTTGGCCCATTTTTGTTAAGCTATGTGTTGCAATGTTTTCCGTGGCTTTACCTGTGTGTCATTACATGCTGCTCCCTGGATGGTGGGATGGCACCTCCTGACTCAGCCTCCCTCTTCCCAGAATTCTCCTTGTTTACTTATCCTGCCTATACTTCCTGCCTGGCTACTGGCCAATCAGTACTTTATTTATCAACCAATCAGAGCAACACATATTCACAGCATACAGAGTGACATCACCCATCAGTAACTCCAGTTCCTAGTAATTTTACACCCTCGAACAAGCATCCAGGCAAAACACCAATGCAAAAAAAAATAAATAAATAAATAAATAAGCCATTTAAGAAAAACTTTTCATTTTTGCTTGAAAAATGTTATCTAATTGAAGTTCCTTTAATTTGTGTGTTGCCTCTCCATCATGGAAATATGCACCTGTTTAGATCACTGTGGCTATTAGGCCTTTGGGAAAAATGCCTGTTCTCAGTCTAGGTTCATTTTATTTTGGATTGTTTGGGGTTTTTTTTTAATTAATTTATATGTGAATAAATAAATTTACCTTATGGGTTACAAATGCCTTCTTCACTGCATTTACTTTTGTGGTATCTTGATAATCAAAATCCTTAAAGCTTAGTATACTGCTTGGTGCATTTAAGAACTCAGGAGGCAGAGGCAGGCAGATCTTTGTGAGTTTGAGGCCAGCCTGGTCTATGGAGTGAGATCCAGGAAAGGCGCAAAGCTTCACAGAGAAACCCTGTCTCAAAAAAAACAACAACAAAAAATAATAATATTGTAATTGCATAATCTTACATTTACATCACACACCAAAATTTATGGCGAAACTTTAATAGTGTTAACTAATGTTAAGGACAAGATAAAAATGTTAGTAGGTCCATTCAACATGATACTGAAGGCCATCTTATTATATCATTTTCAAAATAGTCATAATCTATTTTCTTTTGCTTCTAAATTTTGCAAGTTCAGTTATGAGATATATTAGACACAAATAAATGAACATGAACAATTTTGACAATAACTAATGAACACCTGTGCACTAAACTATATGTACCTATGAATTTTTGCAACTTCGTTTTTCTTATTGATGTTATTTGAATTATGTTAGCTAAGATAGGGTCTGTATTCATTTTTGCAAGTTTTAAAATAAATCAGCCAAGATCCATTAAAAGATTCTGTTTGGATATTGATTGTGCTTTAATGAAATTTGAGAAATAAATTTATAGATTTTTATAGTTTTGAGAAATAACTTCTGTGAGCATGTTATGTTTATAGATTTATATTTGGGTTTGGTATGTTCTGTAATGCTTTTTTAATTCATACTATTAAAGTTTGTGCAGGGTTTTATTACATAGATTCCTCACATTTATTGCTAATATTGGACATAACTTTCTTTAAATTACATATTCTATAGTCTAATGCCATGGTCAATGGTAAAATGCATGAGACCCTGAGATTAATTTCAAGCACTGCAAAATGAAATTCCAGCAGTTTATTAGCATTATTAGCATGACAGGGCATTGGTCTTATATGTACCTCACTCATGTCCACAAGATGTGCTCATGTTTTGTGTGTTTGCTTTACTTCTGGTTACATATCCAGTCTATGTAAACAATTGTTTCATTTATAAATGTGACTTTTTTTCACTTTTAAAAAAATCTTTAACATACATTCATGCAACCTTTAGTGCAATGTCTTATGTCCTAGTGACAGCATTATTATACTATTCCTAGGTTAATACAATACCATTAAAATTTTATCATGAATTTTGAGGAGTGATGTTGGCTTTTCATTATATAATTAATTGCTTTGAATCAGTTAGCTTACTAAGTATCCTATTTCCAACTTTAGCATGTATACTTGCTTAGTTGATCAAATTAACTTTAACATCTATTGAGATAGTCATAGTTTCCTATTCTAATATATTTACGGATATTAATAGATTTTTCTGATGTTGAATGCAAGGGGAAGACTTTATTTTATAAATATGTGTATTTATGCCCATGTTAAAACAGTCATTTACTACTGCCACGGCAAATCAATTAGAATGGATTCACATTGGATCCCCCTGTGTTTGTAAGATGTGGGGAATAATGTTTTAAAAAGTGAGTTGGAATTGTAGATAATGTGATTTTCTGTAATGCTGGCCACTGAGTTCCTCCCCTGCTGTACCTAGGAAGGTTGAGATGGATGGATGAAGCCAACATTGCCAGCATTCTTTTTTGTCCATGTCAGTTTACAACTTATTTTATACGGACTTTATATTTATTTGTCTTTCTTGTATCCCTAGTGCTTTCTTTTATTGTCATGGATGAAACATTCTTATATGCCAGATTTTAGCATTTTTCAAATATTTGGTGATCATAGTCACTACAAAGTCTAATTTTCTGTTTCATGTAATTTTAAACAGTACAGAATTTGGTTGGTGCTTTTCTAAATATCAATTAGATAAATATCTAAAATGAACAAATAACTAGTAATTGATAGTTAATGAAAGTTCTTTTATAAAAAGTTTGTGTGTGTGCATGTAAACACATACAAAATATCTGAGAAGATGTGTTCATTGTGATCTGTTGTGACTCTTGTTTATTTGTCCTTCTTTCCTTCCTTCCATTTTTCTTTTGTCATCACATATTTTGTTGTTAAAACTAAAGTACTGAAAGAATGTGCCATACATTTAATAGGTGAATTACATTAAGAAATCAGAGCTGTACATGCATTGGTTTATGTATAATGCATTGACTGTAATCAGTCATTGAGAAACTCAATAAGAAATATTATGAAGAGGTAAGGATGAAGGGAAGTAATTCATATATTTTTCCTCATGAATTATTTTTATGAACTAGCCTAACACAATAACCTGCTAGATGAACCCATCAACCCATGAGCAGCCTTTGACTTCTACTGTCATTTTATTATTATAAGAGTTCCCACACCATAAGATGCCTGTGGTTTCACTTATCCCATTACTGAAAGACCAGCAACCATTATTTTCCTTTGAGCGTTAGAAATGAATAGCCTTCTTATTTCCTACACCTAGCCGCACGCTTGCATTTTCTGTCACCGTTTTTCCTCCCTATTTCAATGAGTCTTGTCACCTGAATATGAATGAATATCATATGTCTCTCACCCCCTGCTTTTTCCAAGTGTAGCGCAAAGTGTAATTTTAATAACTTTCCTCTCATCTGGAAACAAGCTCACAGATCACAGGAAAGCATGTAGACTAAAGTACAGTGTGCAGGTGAAGGCTAGTATTTTAAGTAGTGACAATGACCCCAAAAGGGCTTCACACAAGAGTACACTTAGGATCTTTCTCTTTTTTGGGTGAGTTCTCAATACGCTCGATCTGCTCTTAATAACTTGACTTCCTCTGCATATTCTGCAATCTTCAGAATTCTATTTCTTGTTGTTGTTGTTGAGAAAATCTTGATGACTACCAGTGTCTAACCTGTTAACCAGTA